ATAAATGAGTTTGTATGTAATGTATGAATATAATATACAAGTTTCACTTTTTAAATGGAATTACTGAAATAAATCTACTTTTTCATGATATTCTAATTTTATGACCAGCACCTGTATATGGATTCCTTGCTGCAAGTAAAACAGCTCAACCAGATCTGCTGCTTGTTCATCATTCCTTGTGTCTTGATAATTAATTTATCCAACAAATATGTATAATTATTATATGATGTCATGTAAGATTTAACCAATTTAAAGACAGTGTGGGAAATAAACTCATTGCTTTCTTGTCAGAGGCTAAATGGTTGCGTTAAACAATTCTAGTTTCCCCACTGAAAAAAGAAAAATATATTAAACCCCTCATGGTTTTCAGGTTATGGAATTATTGCATCCAAAAACATTGAGCCAGGAGAGTTTTTGCTGGAATATATGTTGGAAGACATATCACTGGTCTGGAAGGAGAGGCCCTGTTTAACTAATACTCAGATGTAGATGCAGCGTTTTTGTACTTCTACAACTTCTAGGGACAAACCTTCTGGTGAGTACAGTTGCATGAACATCCTAAACAAGAGTAGAATAAGTCTATGAATAAGTGCGATTTTATTTTACTTTTTATTTTTTTACAGTGTTGATGGCAGTAAAGATACAACAAGACTTGCACAATTTATAAATGGTGCTCACATCAACCAAACAGCAAAATTAAAATAGTAAGTAACACAGTCAGAATTCACTCAGTGTTCATTAATTAACTGGTTTAATTATAAACTGACACAAAACAATATCATTCCATGTGTTGGAGTATCAGAAGCATTCTGTCCAAACACAACTTCCTGCTACATTTTAAAGCCAACAGGACCTCAGATAGAGGCTGGTCCAGGTGTCTGCAGTTCAGTGAAGTGAGGACTGTTCAGACTACAGATGTGACGTTCGCAAACGATCCGAATCTTTTGAACGGCTCTTTACAACGAACGATAGGAGCCGGATCGTGGGCAGTAACGAGCCATTTTAGTTTTATTTCTTTTATTCCTCATATAATCTTTATTTTTTCATATTTAAATCGCTCCTGCTTTGCTTTTTCACAGAAAACTGGCGGAGTTGGGGAGTACAGAAGCTCACGGTGAAAGGGGCAGGGAGGTTTCTGCTTGACAAACACATGGCTCCACCCACGTGACGGGATTACATTACGTATGGCTATGTGATGACGTATTTCCCTACGTGATGATGCGACACGTTCAAAATCGAACGGCTCTTTTGAACGGCTCTATGAAACAAACAGCTCCCCAAGATCCGGATCCGTTCAAAGGGCCGTTTATCCCATCTCCAGTTCAGACCTCTACATAGGAGAAACCAAACAACCTCTCCACAGACACGAGGGACACTCCTTTGAGGAACAAAAGAATCATATTTTGGACAGAGAAGACAGATGGTTTGAGAAAGAGGTGAAGGAAGTCATTAATGTCAAACAAGAAAACAATTTAAAACAGAGAAACCAGGGTCAGATTTTAACTTTGAGAAGGAGTCAAACCTAAAGCTACATGGAAGTTCTTCAGCTTCATTCAAATTAACTCCTTCAAGCATGTGACTGAACATGTGACTCATGAGCCAGGCTAACAAAGAGCATAACTCTCCTTTGTGAGGGACGAGGAGTTTTAATTTATTCTGCATGTGAATCTAAGCACCAATGAGACCTCTCAGGTTAGAGCTCCACACAAAGGGTGTGAAACATCTTCAGCTGCAGAACAGATCTCCAGTTGTCTTCAGTTTTTAACCTTTTTACATTTTTTACATTTATCAGCTGATTGTAATTCATTTGTGTTTATGCCGTTGTGACCAACAGATACTGGATGAGCAGAAAAGACCACATCTGTGTGCATTTGTAGTCACAAAGAAACCTGCAGGAGAAGAAATTATCTGTGACTACAGAGGCCCTCTAATCGTCAATGGCAACTTGTATTTATATTTTTATTTACATATATTTTGTTAAATGCATGTTTTGTCACATGATAATCTCAATCGTCAACTCTCATCAGCACTGATATTATACATGCAGGTGCTTTACAAACTGGCTTTAAAACCTTTAAGCATAATGTCAAAACACAAAATGCAGAGTGGTCCTTTAATTAAAGGACCACTTTGTTTAAATGATTAGTCAATCATTAAAACAAACTAAATCTTGCATTCTTCAGTTTCATGTTGTAAATGTCGTTTGTTTTAGAATAACTGTGTCCTGATGCATCAGTCCAGGAAGAAAAAATCAAAAAGAAAAAATCAGCAGGTCCTCTGGATGGTTCTCCTTCAGTGAAACGTTTCGTCTCTCCTCCAAGAGACTTCTTCAGTCTGATGAGTTTCAGGTGAACTCAGCCTTATAAGCTCCGCCTCCACATGGTGGACAAACAGGTTAGTCATATGCAAAAGAGGGCCATCGACTAACAATAGGCTTGATTAGCTCTATTGTTCATGGAGGGTCATGTGGCCCATCACTTGACCCGTGTCGTGTTATGTGTTTGTAGTGAATGCAAGCGGGGGTTCAACATCCCCTTGTTTTTGTTTTTTCCCTCTTTGTGTTGGTATCATTGGGGCCCTGATTCACACGTTTTGCTCACAGGGGGCGGAGTCATAGTTGCAATAACTTGCAATTGTAGGCGGAGGACAACTGGACATGAAGGCATCCACCTCTGTTTAATGATGAAAGAGTGACCGCTGGCCTGTAGATGAGTGTAAACTGTAGAGTCCTGACCTGTAGATGAGTGTAAACT